AACCACTCAAAAGAATAGAGAAATCTACTATGGTAATTGTCTATCGCGAGACAAAGTACAACAGAAATGTTTCCAATTAATGTTTTATAAGTTGCACAAATTATTTTCCAATTAAATCGCATTAGTAAAACACTGGATTTTTTCAATGACGGAAAGTGAAGGACTTGGAAAAATTTTTCAGAGCGAAAAAACAAAGGCGGTTGAATTAATTTTAAAATTACCCTATGACATACTCAATATTACATTCATTCCTATTGTCCAAGTTTCAATAAAATATTGGTAGGCGTGTTTTCCGTAGCGGATTGTGAAACTATAATCAATAATAATAAGACTGGAGTCATTGTTATAAATATTCACATTGTTTAATTTAATAAAACGAAGCATTTTTAACTAGTATAATGGTGATTAAATGGTTTTAACAATTCTGCGATGCTTGAATGGCTTCGAAGAGCTTATGTTAGTAGCGAAGAAGAATTTAAAGAATTTTAGAGGGTGGAAATCTCGACTTTCAAGAATCAACTTAAAAATAGTCCCACATCCTTTGCAGGAGTTTGTTTAGTAGCTATGCATAGATTTTGTCGCAGTATACTTATCCGTGTTTGCTGTAGGCTTCGAAGAGAAACTTGGCCAGTAACGACTAAAACACTGATAAAAATCTCTCATTCTCTTTCAAGAATCAACATAAAAATAGTCCTATGGCCTTTGTAGGAGTCGTTTTAGTGGGTTTGTCAATGTTTGAATAAAATATTCTTAGCCAATTTTTTTCTAGGCTTTTAGAAAAGAATAATATGATTAATAATATTATGAAAAACAAATTGATGAATATTGTATTTTGTCTAACAATAAGAAAATCAACTTGTTTCCTAATATCAATACTTTAGCAGCCTTAGTCATTGAGATAGAAGGTCTTAAGTGTTGTTTCAAAAACAAGTCTGCTTTTTAAGATGGTTTTTGCCCTATGTTCTATTAGAATTTTTGTGAAATTCCTGGGCAAACCCTATTATGAACCACTATCGTGGTTCATGATGCCCAAAGTATACGTCGTCTGTTATATATATTATACACTAGTATTATTTTCGGTACAAAAAAGGAATCACTGGGACCCCAGACGAAAAAGCTCTGTGAAAGAATTAGAGCAATAAGGTTTTCTTTTTTTTTCAGTACGCTTGTCTGGAAAAGTCACTTACTTACTTATTTAGATTAAAAAATTTTTGAAATAGTGAAAATTTGATTCACTCCATTAACACGTATATAGCGGTTTAGGCGGCTTTACAAGCACAATAAGCTAGTTTTGCTCAGCCAATACTGTGAAATAGTCATTGTTAATATATTCAGACTTTTAAAAGGTGGTTTTAAACGGGCATCTTTTATGGCTGCCATTTTGTTTCTTCACGATTCCTACTATTAAGTATTACCATACTTAATGATTAGGAAAGGAAAAAGAAATTACACATTTAAAAACTGTATTAAAGTTTTATGTAAGTATAATAACCATGGGTAGAATTGTTCCAAGTCTGATATTAAATTTGGAACTTTAGCTTTGTATTCAAAATTTCTACACGTCGATATACAGGAATTAGTCTTAACAAGCTATCTTATATCACTGCAGGCGTTACAGTTCTTTTAATTTAGTTTTGGAGCATGTCTCAATTCATATATACTATATATTCCATTAATACTTCTCTTACTTTAGCGACATGTCTCAATCCATATACACTACATATTCCATTATGTTTTTATATGCATTAATGTAGTGGCATGCTACAATCCATATATACTACATGTTTCATTAGGTTTTTGTATTGTTCTACCAGAGTCCAACTAATAACGTATGCTAAACCGACACTTTCTACTCTGTCTGTCTATATATTACTTTTCAGTTTACTTATGTAATTCTTTACATTCAAGTTTATTAAAGTGTTTGTCTAGTGACGTTATTTCGCTTGTACACGTATATAATACATTATCCTACATCTGATGAGGCAAAACTTACTATTCATATTCAATGTATCGTTTTTTTTGTTGTTGTTTTTTTGTATTAAAAAGTATATTTAAAGCAGTTTGGAAACGTTTAACTTCCAACAACAGTGCTGTTTCATATCCCTTAGTTTCCAAGATTCTTGCCCCCCCCCCAGCGGTAAGTCTGTGGATTTATAACACTAGAAACCGGGTTTCGATATTCGTGGTGAGCATAGCACAGATAGGTTTGTGCTTGACTGCAAACTAACAGTCTAAGATTCTTGAAAGGCGGCATAAGGCTCCTCAAGTTTTCATTATGACAATATATCTTATTTTGCCATGAAAGTTAGAAAGTTAAAAGAATTAGAAACATTAAGCACGATTCTTATACAGAAAATTCTGTATCTTGGTCAGAGGATTCCATTCACTTCTGTGTCGCGGTCAGGAGGTTCCAGTCACAAGAAAAGTCGACCAGAAAACATTAGCCAGGTTATCGTTGTTTGAGAAAAAGACCCTTATTTACTGCGATATCCTACCAAGTGTGAAGACTTTTCCCATAAGGTGAAAACATTATATATATCCGTTTCCATTGTGGGGTCGATTTACAAACTTTTTTTAGTTTGTTTTTGATCATTGCTGCAACTTCATTCTTATTAGTCTTTCGCGAGAAAGAAATAATAGAACAACGAAATGTTATGTTCTAAAAATATTTTACCAATTTATTACACAGTTGAGTAAAAAAAAGGAGTTCAAAGAATAGATTAGTTAGTTTATTCCCATCACACACCCAGTTTGATACATTCGTGCTCGCTGTTTCCTGTTTATTTCACTCAGATTTCTGAAGTATTTGATGCTATTTAAAGCTAGCATATACGTGAAAACGAACCGCTATAAACAAGAAAAACAGAGAGGCTTAATAAACACAGTGTTTAATTTCAATGTCGAAACTATTGACATATCTGGAAAAATAACATCATTGCCAACATATAAAGATTCGCGGTATAACAATTCTACAATGAGATTTTTATGGCAGCGTGCGCTTCTAAAGCAATATATTTTATGAGATATGTTGGGTTTAAAACCAAATATCTTTCGAGGTATGATGAATCTAAAAAGATCTATTATGAGGTATGACGATTGTAAAACAAGATTTCTTATGAGGTACGATGAATCTAAAATAAGATTACTTACGAGGTATGAAGATTTGAAAAAGATTACTTACGAGGTATGTAGATTCGAAAAATATTTCTGATGAGGTATAGTGATTCTAAAACAACATTTCTCATGAGGTATGATGATCCTAAAATATGATTTACTATGAGGTATGATTATTTTAAAATATGATTTACTATGAGGTATGATTATTTTAAAATATGATTTACTATGAGGTATGATTATTTTAAAATATGATTTACTATGAGATATGACGATTCTAAAACAAGATTTTTATGAAGCATGAGACTTCTAAAGCAGAGAATTGATTATGTATAATGATCTTAAATAAAAATTGCGTATGAAATAAGATAGTTCTAGAAAAAAGATGATTCTGTTCGATATATCTTATTTGGGTGAATTTTCGCTCTCTACTGAGCGCCATCTATTTGAGTTTTGAGAGGATTATGCATTAATAAAAGTTATTACTCATGAAACTAAACTTTGTATTTTTAGTTTGCATTCAATATTGCGATTACCGAAGTTATTGACGATGATACTTTCTTCTATTCCTTGAAGGACTAAATAAATCATATTTCCGTTGAAGCTGTGAATCTCATAAATACTATATTTATAGAATTTGTGGTTGTTGTATGAGTAATTTTGTGGAGGTTGTGTGCGTGAAAATGGCTTATGGTTATTAATTCTTCTTTAGATATATATTTAAAAATCTGCTGTTAAAAAGATTATTCACGGATGACATTTATTGGGTCAGCCTAAAACAAATAAATTGTGTTTTAAGCTTTATACATGTATATAAAGTAGAATTGTCCAATAGCGGATTTTGAAATTTGAAATTTTCGAAATAATAGGCTACTTTCTTAATCATTAGAAATTTGATCAGGGCCAATTTAAGATGCGACACCTACGAGCGGGCCACTGTTCTTGTCCACGAGGATGGTCCGGATATTTTTTTTCAGTTCTTGATTTTGTTGATTTGAAAAAAAAAAACATATATGGAATTTGGGTGGTGGTCACCACGGGACCATCCACTAAATCTGCCACTGGTTGTCTGTCTGTCTGTCTGGTGTTAAAAGTTTTTGTACAAATCTCGCTGAACCATCCTGTACAGGTACGAACAGTTAAAACATTCGAATTATTTGACACGAATAACAATAAGAAGCAGCATCCCGACAATAAGATATGATCATTTCCAGGTATAATAATAATGTTTGCTTATAAAACCTTACTGTGTGTTCGTTTAGGCTCACATCAAGCTCTATCCTTCTTGTCTTAAGGTTTAGAAACCTCAAGTTCCTTCCAGTTTCAGGGAGTATTCAGATATTGTGGTTTTGTTGTAAATTACGTTATCTTAAGAGCTTAGATAGCGTTATATACTACATTATTATTGTTATTGTTGTCTTATTTTATGGGTGTTTGGATAGGTTTTGGCCTTGATTTAACATCTTCAATGTCAAAGTAATTTATTTTATCAAACAATTTGGACGTGGGAATATATTCCTAAAACTTTAGAGTGTGATTGAAATACGATGAAAAGTTAAAAACGTAGCAACCATTGTACTGTACAAATATTGTCTGTCGTTATTACGTGTTGACGATATATCGTATAATGTAGAAACTGTTAATAGTTTAATTCAACCCTCTACAGATCAGAAATCTAAGAAACCTTCAACTCAAGAACGAGAGGTTAAGTGTTAAGCTGCGAAATCCATTGTAGGTGTTGAAATTTTACGATACATAATTCACCTGAACACCATTTCTTATGCGAATTACTCATAGGACAAGGTGTTAAATATACTTGTACAATGTGTTGAGAGCATATATAAACTTTATCACATGGTCTGTAAGTTAAACAAACTACTTCTTACCTCATCAGCTAGATCAGGAGGTATATCATCTTTGTTCACACGTTTCAGCAAGCCGTCCACACCAAGCCAATCACCCCGCTGGCAAAGGGCCAGTAACCGGCATCCCGCTTCCCCGTTCGTTCCCTGTCCGAGCCAAGAGGCTGCGGAGTTCTGTTTCAACCGTCCCTCAGCCTGCACGTATTCGCCGTCCACATCAGTGGTTTTAGGGTTCTTTTCTGTAATTTCTGTGTCCAGTTTCTCCGTAGAAGGAACGTTGTAGGAGTCCTGGACCCGTTTAGACATTGTGAACAGCCGTTGTTCTTATGCTTAGGTAGTCGAGTGAAAAATTTGTTTCAAAACTTTAACTTAATTATAATTTTAGGATTAAGAGTTTTTACTATAAATATAAAAATATTAAACCCTAAAATTTTAAAATACATGTATAAAGTCCTAAAAATGAATGTGTTTGAGAATGTTAATGTTTTTATTAAAGCTGCTTATTTCTCATCCAACAACATTTAACCCTCTACTTCACACAGACTAGTAGTATCCGTCATTTTAACTTTTATATACTAGTTCATATAATGTTAAACCACGAGTAGCGTGAAGGCGTTGACAAGTCACGTGACACGAAGCGTTGCCACCACTGGTCGTCAGAAGTGAATAGGAAATAAAACAATACAAAGTTAAGCTTCGAATAAAATTGAAATTACATATTAGGTGAGAAAAAGCAAATTTATTTGCAACTGCGTTAACTTATAAAAAAATGTTCTTGGTTTCACTTAAGAACTTACAAATTTCACGCCACTACGTTTATTAAAATGATAAAATGAAGACTTAGGTAATGGTGAATTTTAAGAAATGAATGTCATAAAAAAGCCAATTTATTCTAAACCATTTTTCACACTTATAGTGCTTGGTTAGTATGAATAACGTAGTACATCTACCGATTAGATATTTTATACATGCTACTTACTCTAATGTGGCTGAGACATTTAATTTACTATCCATGTATTTAAGGTGGTACAAAATTATCTTTCCTATTTTAAAATTTAATAATTAAATAACTAATGAAATACAGCCATGCAGTTTTCAACATCTTGTAGCCCAACTCAAACAGTTTTATTGTCATGTTCGTTTTCACTCCATTGAGTAATGTTACCGTGTAAATTGGAAACCATGCAAGAAAAGGCTTAATGTGTTGTTAGGCTTACAAAGACCAAGTCAGTGACTGTGGTGCAGCGTAATTACAGACTCCAGTTCAGGAAAGAAATGTGGGGGTATGTTAAGGATATCGTGTATCACACGCCTATAGCAAACATCACGGAGTTAAAAAAAACGGATATAGGATGGCATCGCCGCTGCAACTGTGGACATGGTGCAGCGAACGTGAACTGAAATCGAATATCGGTTAGACGTGCTGAGAGCCACTTATGGTGCCCATGAAGAAGTCTACTGTTTGAGTTAGCTACAAGATATTGAAAACTGCATAGTTGCATTTGCTTAGTTAGTTAAGTATTAAACTTCAAAATAGGAAACATAATTTTGGTACTACTCTGTATATATATATATATATATAGAATTGTTATAATGAATTGATCAACGGCTGATCATTTTCATCAATTGATGCATATGGGGATAAAATAGACTAATAATTTTTTGCATAATTTCATTTACGAATGACGTGCATTTTAGCCAACGTTATACTTGTTTGTTTGTTTCAGCCACATTACAAAAGGACTAGTTGTGGCGTCCCCTGGTGAGCTAGCAATAAGTTTAAGGACTCAAAACGCCAAAATCTGGGGCTCAATTCCTCGCAGTGGACAGAGTGCAGATAGCCAATTGTACAGCTTTGAGCTAAAATAACAACAACCATCTGCTGTAACGGTCACTAATTTTGAACTGATAACTATAGGAGAGGCAGCTAGTCAATAGCACCCACCGCCAACTATTGGGTTACTCTAATCGATAGTAGGATTTGACAGTCACCCTTATAACGTACCCACGACCCCAAAGTTTGGAGGGCGATTTTGCGGCATCGAGACGCGAAACATTGAATCACGTATTCATATTCCGGCACTCTAACGACTGCCCCCAGTGGCACAGCGGTATGTCTGCGGACTTACAATGCTTGAAACCGGGTTTCGATACCCGTGGTGGGCAGAGCACAAATAGCCCATTGTGTAGCTTTGTGCATAACTCCAAAAAAGAACAAACTCTAACGACTAGGCCATGCCCAGCCCTTAACATTATACGATGAATGTTCTTTTAAACTTATTTCCCTAAGAATTTAGAAAGCTCAATTAAGAGTAAATAGCAGGCATATTGTACAGATATCTTAAGATTTATAGAGCTGTAATAGCCTAAGACAGGCCTTAAAGTTCTGATTTTGTATTTGTTAAACTGACTTTGTCCGTTTATATTGCAACGATAAGGTCGATTAGCAGTTCATTTTAAATTAAGAAGCTGCTTCACTTGTAAATCTTGAACTTCACAAGCTTTCCAATCGCTTTGTCGCCTGAGTTAAGTGTACTATTAATATATAAGTAATGTGGATAGATGTTGAATATTCCAATCTCATTTACAGTTATATACACAGGGCCGGCCTTAGGGTGATACCATTGGAGCAACCGCCTCAGGCCCCGCGTCTCAATGTCCGGGTCGATCATATAGTTCTAGTATTCAAATTCGAGAATCTAATCTTGAGTATTCGCCTTAGGCCCCGCACCCTACTAAGGCCGACCCTGTGTATAAAAATACCTATCCATGTATTTAGATTTAAAATTTATTTTAAAATGCATTTAAGTATGTACATAATGTAGCATCTTCTTAATTCCTGGATTAACGTAACTTTGTATCAAACTTTTCACTTTATTACCATCTGGTACAAAATTCGGTCAATAGGTTGTATGTATATATATATATTTATATTTACAACACAACACTTACTCATAAAGTGATAACTATAGATATATATAATAACAAGAAAGAATCCTCAATAGTCGCGGCACTTGAAATTCTTTTAAGCAGGATTAAAGTAAATTAATCTATGAGATTGTTTACCTTTTTATTAGCTATATTTTTGTGCGCGAGCAATACCAAGCGTGGGGCGCGCGTATACTCGATTCGATTTTATTATTCATCAAGATCTCTACCAGCCTACTCTGAAATTAAAGTTCTTTTAGGCAGGATTAGAGTAAATTAATCTAATGGGACCTTGGGTGTGATCAAGTACATCAATGGGAAGGGTTTGACCTCTTGAGTCCAAAGCTGTAATTAGATCTCAAATCGGTCAAGAAATGACGTTGCTATGAGCTGAAAGTTTGTACTTGAAAACTCAGAGCCATTCTATGAGCCGCTATGCCGCAACAAAAACGATTTTCAACTATTCTCTTTTATTCAACAGCCTTTTCGAATACACTGGAAAGCATTAATATGATAACAGGAAAGCGCGGTTGAACAAAAAAAAAACAGCTGAAAATCATATTGTTCTTATTAATTTATAATACCAAAGGTATTCGTGTCAGGCTCGGCCTTTATTCTGTTGACTTCACGAGGATGGCGGGACGGCGGTCGTGTACAACATTCACCATACAGTTCTACTGAATATGAGATCAGGCCTTTTCAATATCACTTATCAGGAAGTAAAGACTGAAGTCCCTCGAGACTTTCGATGGGTAAGAACAAAAACGAATATTTTACCTTCTGGTAAATAGTTTTGTATACAGAAATTGTTTAATTGTCAATTTAAATGTACTAAAGACTACTTAGGATCACATATGGATCATAGTG